TAACCATCAACTGATTCATTAAGGATTACCCAAAACATAAATGAGTAATGCAAGTTATTTTATATCTTTTCTATATTTGTAAAATGTTTTTCAAAACTCATAGATTTTTCCATTTCTGCGACATATTGAAAATTATAAAATTTTGATACACAATGTTTTCTGATAAGAAAGGCAGAGAAAATAATGTTCCTTACAAATCAGACTTTAAATCAGATGGGAAAAAAAAAAAAAGCACAAGCAGCAAATGTGAATACATCCATCTAAGGTCACTAGAGATTGTTTTTTTTACTCAAAGTGAACCCTCTTTTCCTAATACAAACTATACTAATTAAGTTTCAAGAGATGAAGCTTAATAATAAAAAATACATTACTCAGATTAAAATACAGTCATTTTAGAAGCAAAAATTGATGAACTTGAAGACATAGCAATAGAAAGCACCAGAAGTTTTTAAGAGATTGAAAACGATAAACAGAAAATTTGTGAGTGGTGTGACAACTTAAAATGGTTTATTTTTGTCCAATTAGTGTCCCAGAAGAATAAGAAAGTGAGAGACAGAAAAAGGTATTTGAAGAAATAATGGTCAAAAAATGCCCAAGCTTGATGAAAACTTTAAGACCAAGGATTTAAGTAATTCAATCGGCCCCCAAAACAAGAAGCATGAATAAAACTACACCAAAACATTATAATCATATTATTTAAAACAGGCGATAGTGAGAAAATATTAAAAGCAGTAATGGGGAACACATTATATATACTGAGAAATAAAGATAGAAATAATAACAGACTTGTTGTTGGAAACTAGCCAAAAGACAGAGGAGTAACATCTTAAGATACTGAAAGAAAAAAGCCATGAGCCCAAAACTCTGTACCAAGAGAGAATATCATGCAAAAACATAGGTATAGTAAAGACTTTTTTAGACAAAAATATCTAAATTCATCACCAGGAGAACTAAACTGTAAGAAATATTAAAGTAAGTTTTTAGAAAGAAAAAAAAGATAAGGAATGACAGCACAGAAAATGGTAAATGTGTGGATAAAGAGATTTTTATCTTATTTTCAAGTCTTTTCAAAAGATGATTATTAAAACCACAAATAATGTGACGTTTATGAACTATGTAGAAATAAAATGAATGAAAACAATTTGCTAAGAGAAATTGGAAGTATACTGTTGAAAAGTTTTTATACCATATGTGAAGTCATATATTACTTTATGGAAGGCTATAATATATTTAGAATTTATAGCATAAACTCAAAAGCAAACCTTAAGATGAAAAAAAGCAAAAGAATAATAACCCAAAAACTAGATAAAATGAAATCACAAAAATTACTCAACTAACCAAGAATCATGACAAAAAAGGAAAACTAAGAACAGATGAGTTAAATAGGTAGTAAGCTGGTAGATTTATACCAAGTAATATAATAATCATATTGAATATAAATGACCTAAACACCATATTTGACAAAAAAAGCAATACCCAATTGTATTCTATTTAACGGAAACCTATGTTAAATATAAAGATGTGAATAGGTAAAACTAAAATAATAAAAATGACATACTCTGATAACACTACTATGAAGCAAACCATGGTGGCTATATTATCAAAGTATATTTCAGAGCAAAGAATATTACTGAAATAAACAGTCATTTTATAATGCTAACAAGATCAAATTCTCAACAGGACATAAGAACCCTAAATATATATGTTCTTAACATCAAAACTTCAAACAACATAAATCAAAAATGAAAAGAACAGAAATAAGAAATGCATAAACTCATGATAATAATCAGATTTCCTCATCCTGGTTCTCAGTAATGGATAGAACAAATAAGGATAGAAGAAAGGATAGAAAAGATTTAAATATAGGAAGACAAAAATCAGCTGGCAGGGTTTAATTAGATTTGGAAGCCAGACTCTTGTAGGAAAGGACAAAGAATCAATAGAGGAAAAGAACAATAATGCCAGCTTGAGTAGTAACAATGGGTGAACACTCCCAAGGATGCTAAAGGGTTGGGAACACATGCAAAGGCGGAGGAGTCAGCCCAAAGAAGACATGCACAGGCAAAGGGGAAAATGAAGATTTAGGAGACTTTGAGTTGAGGAGAATGAAATTAAAGAAGCCTACAAACCCTTCTTCTCTCCTCTTGCATTTGGGTTACTCAGAACCAACTGCAGATACCATGTAGTCCTATAGATGGATGCCAGTCCAGATTTATGGTATCCAATCCCATCTTTGCTGTCCTTAATGAACTATCACTCCTTCTTTTCTCAAAGACTACTCCAAAACCTCAATCTTTTGTTGAAGTTGCTATGATGTCCTTCTGAACTGTGATGTATTTGCTCTCAGATCCATTTCTTCCTTTCCCCTGCTCTCTTCTGTATTTCAGCAGCCTGATCTCTATAGCGGCCTTTTCCAGCCTGGCTTCTGGGTGTTTCCTCCAGTAGACAGCACAGGTTGAGGATTGAAGGTGGAAAAGGAAGAGCCTGTATATATTTCACTCTTCCTTAGTGCTTTAGGCAGCTGCAGCTCTTCTGCAGCCTCAAGTCTAGAGGCTGAGTCTTCAACTCCCTGGGGAAACATTGCTTGTGAATTGGGAGTAATTCATAAGCAATGCCCACTTCTACCCAGAAGTACAGGCCACTGGGCTCCAGATGCACTGCCTTCTTCTTCTGTCCCTCTCTCCTAGAGATGGTAGTGGTTTCCCACTGATGCTTCTCTCTGGGGTAAACTGCTATTCCTGCTTGGCTTCTTAACTCTTCCATTAACTTGTGTAACCAATTACCTACATTAAAATTTTTCTATATTAAACATTCACATGCTTCATGCTTTGCCTCTTGTCAGAGGCTAACCACCTAACTGTGAGATCTTGATTCTTGCTCCTTTGGAATTACTTTGTTCATGTATTGACTCTGATCATCATTTTAGCTCTCTTTTTTCCCTCTGCTAACTACAACTCTCCTTTGGACAACACATTTCCCTTTAACTTGTATTCTCTTCTTTCCTGAACACAGTTCTACAAAGAGTGATCTACACTTACTGTCTCTGCCTTCACACCTCCCATTCCCTTCTGAACCTACTCAAATCCAGTTCTACCCTCACCATTCAAGTAGACCTGATTCTTCTCCTTGGTTGCCACTTAGCATGCTTTGTAAGCTTCTCATCCACAGTGAAGATGTTCTCAAGGCTCCTTCTCCTCTACTTCTTCATTCCTCCCCTTCCTTACTCACTCTACATATTCTCCATGGACAATCTTATGACTTTATTATAATCTTGCTGCTTATGACTTCCAAATTTACAACTAGCTTTAGCATCTAGTCTGTTCCAGACCCATATGTCCAATGTCAATGTCTTCTACTCAGCTTGACAAGAAGCACTGTAAAATTCAAGATGTTCAGTGAAGGATTTCTCTTCCTCCACAAGCGTGTTACAGCATACATTCATTATCTTGCAGAATTACATCACCATCACTGATTTACTGAAGCCAGAATGAGGAGTCATCCTAAATCTGTCCTTTCCATTTATTCTCTATATTGAATCAATCATCCTTTTTATCAGCTATTCCTCTTCTATCACTCCCACTGCTGTCATTTTTGTACTACTGACATATTATGGCCTTTTGTCTGTTTTCCCTTTTAGATGAATAATAAGAACTTTCTGATGATCTCTCTGTTTCAAATTTTACCCATCCCCAGTCATCCTTTCAATTTGCTGCCAGAGAACTTTTATAGTTCATAGTTTGGATCATGTCATTGACCTATTTCTATAACAGTTTGAATGGTGCCTCATTACATCAAATGATAAGATCAAAATGCTCTATTAAATTCTTCCTGCCAGAGCCTCTTTTTGGCCTCATCTCCCACACTGCTAGTCTCAGAACAATTCATGTCCTCACAAAGCTCTGTGCCTGCCCATGAATGACCCTCTTCCTGGACATACGCACTCCATATCCTGGCTTCCTCAATAGTCTTGAAAATTCCATTGCATCTTTAAACTCTCCTTTCAGAAACTTTCTCTGTAAAGCTTTCTGACACTTTTCCAGTAAGGCTTAAGTGCTCCTTAAGTGCACCTGAGGAACACCTCAGTGCAAAAATACACCTGTTTGCATTTTGAGTTTCATAAGCCTAGGTGCTAAATTTGGTGCAAATAAAATCCTGATAAATCAAGGTGTACCTTCACACCAATAAGATTATGTAAAGATTTCCAATGTAGGAAGATTTGGAGTGGGAAATAAACTTCAGAGGATAAAAACTTTAGATACTGGTTGAGCCCTGCACCATTTGGACTGAGCTCTATGAGAGGAGAAGAAGGTGGAGGGTGGAGGGTAGAAGGTAATAAATCAATGTCCACAGATTTGTAGGATCTGAGAGTGGAGAAGATCATAGCCTGCCTCCCTGAGTAGATCTTCAAGGAGGCAGTTGAATTATAGCAGAGAAATGAATACATACATGGTATATCTCAGCAGACAGGAGCTCTCAGAATGCAGCAGAAATGGGAAGATGCCATCATGGGTCTGAGAGCTACATGCAGGCAGATAGGATCTTAAAGAAGTGTACAGTGTATTTTCAGACCCTATGGGTCTTGTGGCAGCAGCTGATTCCTGTGCACAAATCCAGAGCACGGAAGTGGCCAAAAGAGTCACCAGAACTGTCATGCCACATTGGAACCAGGAATAATGCATCATAACTCCTATAAATAAATGACTTAAAGTCTGTTAGGATTTAGTCTTGGAGTTGCTTGGGTGTTCAACCTTTTTTCCCCATCACCAAGTCACCCGGTGAATTTTAACTGCTAGCCAGTTATAGAGGCCATGTCAGGGGATGGTGAGTCTACTGGGGAGTCTGGAGAAAGCTTTGTTCACAGCCCAAATGGAGGCCCTGGAAGAGAAAGCCCCCTTCTGTACCTGAGTGCTGCTACCTCTTGATCGTCTCTCTAACTGCTACAGCTATCCTACAGTCTTGAGGCAAGATGGTTTGAGAGTAAAGGTAAAATGGGGAGAGGCAGCTCGTTGCGCAGTAGTGCTAGCGGCTTCGTGTTTCGGTACCCGCACCCGGCAGCCGCTTTTGGTGCTAAGCTGCTAGGAAGCCCCTCTCGGCGAGCTCGTTGGAGCTTGAACCCATTGTCACCCCTCGGACTTACCGACAAAACAAAACAAAAAAATGGTTGAAGCAGATCGCCCAGGAAAGCTCTTCATTGGTGGGCTTAATACGGAAACAAATGAGAAAGCTCTTGAAGCAGTATTTGGCAAATATGGACGAATAGTGGAAGTACTCTTGATGAAAGACCGTGAAACCAACAAATCAAGAGGATTTGCTTTTGTCACCTTCGAAAGCCCAGCAGACGCTAAGGATGCAGCCAGAGACATGAATGGAAAGTCATTAGATGGAAAAGCCATCAAAGTGGAACAAGCCACCAAACCATCATTTGAAAGTGGTAGACGTGGGCCACCTCCACCTCCAAGAAGTAGAGGTCCTCCAAGAGGTCTTAGAGGTGGAAGAGGAGGAAGTGGAGGAACCAGGGGACCTCCCTCACGGGGAGGACACATGGATGACGGTGGATATTCCATGAATTTTAACATGAGTTCTTCCAGGGGACCACTCCCAGTAAAAAGAGGACCACCACCAAGAAGTGGGGGTCCTCCTCCTAAGAGATCTGCACCTTCAGGACCAGTTCGCAGCAGCAGTGGAATGGGAGGAAGAGCTCCTGTATCACGTGGAAGAGATAGTTACGGAGGTCCACCTCGAAGAGAACCGCTGCCTTCTCGTAGAGATGTTTATTTGTCCCCAAGAGATGATGGGTATTCTACTAAAGACAGCTATTCCAGCAGAGATTACCCAAGTTCTCGTGATACAAGAGATTATGCACCACCACCACGAGATTATACTTACCGTGACTATGGTCATTCCAGTTCACGTGATGACTATCCATCAAGAGGCTATAGCGATAGAGATGGATATGGTCGTGATCGTGACTATTCAGATCATCCAAGTGGAGGTTCCTACAGAGACTCATATGAGAGTTATGGTAACTCACGTAGTGCTCCACCTACACGAGGGCCCCCGCCATCTTATGGTGGAAGCAGTCGCTATGATGATTACAGCAGCTCACGTGACGGATATGGTGGAAGTCGAGACAGTTACTCAAGCAGCCGAAGTGATCTCTACTCAAGTGGTCGTGATCGGGTTGGCAGACAAGAAAGAGGGCTTCCCCCTTCTATGGAAAGGGGGTACCCTCCTCCACGTGATTCCTACAGCAGTTCAAGCCGCGGAGCACCAAGAGGTGGTGGCCGTGGAGGAAGCCGATCTGATAGAGGGGGAGGCAGAAGCAGATACTAGAAACAAACAAAACTTTGGACCAAAATCCCAGTTCAAAGAAACAAACAAAAAGTGGAAGCTATTCTGTCATAACTACCCAAGGACTACTAAAAAGAAAAATTGTGTTACCTTTTTTAAATTCCCTGTTAAGTTCCCCTCCATAATTTTTATGTTCTTGTGAGGAAAAAAGTAAAACATGTTTAATATTATTTGACTTTATGACATTGCTTTTCAACAAGCAAATGTTAAATGTGTTAAGACTTGTTGTACTAGTGTTGTAACTTTCCAAGTTAAAGTGTCCCTAAAGGCCACTTCCTATATGATTTTTCCCAGTAAGTGAGGCAAGCAATTCTAAGATCTTCCACAAAACATCTAGCCATCTAAAATGGAGAGATGAATCATTCTGCCTATACAAACAAACTAGCTGTTAGAGGGTGGTTGGGGTATGCTACTCATAAGATTTCAGGGTGTCTTCCAACTAAAACCTCCATGATCTCAGTATGAAAAACCTGAAATCAGATGCCTATTTAAGGAAATAATCGCCCAGTAAACCCAAAAATGCAAATGGATAATGCTGGCCATTTTGCCTTTCTGACATTTCATCGGAAATCTGCAAGAACCTCCCTTTTCCCCTCCCCCAGTAACACCATTTAAGTGTGTGTTAAACAACGACAAAAAAAAAAAAAAAAAGTTTGGCCAAAAAAAAAAAAAAAAAAAAAAAAAAAAAAAAATGGGGAGAGGCAAATAAAAAAGATGAAAAAACTAAGACTCTTCATGATGTCAGACTGCTATATCAACTCTGAAGCCAACCCTTAGGGAGGTGAGAGGAATATATTTTTCTTTATTATTTAACATTGAGTCTGAGTTTTCTGTTATTCATTTGAAGCCAAAAGCACTCTGATTATACAATGTTCTTGAGGATATCTCAAGAAACCTGAAATTTACCCTTTTAAAAGCCAGCATAATCCTTCCTTTTGTTGTTGTTGTTGTTTTGTTTTGAGACTGAGTTCAATCTTGTTGCCCAGGCTGGAGTGCAATGGTGTCATCTTGGCTGATTACAACCTCTGCCTCCCAGGTTCAAGCGATTCTCCTGCCTCAGCCTCCCGAGTAGCTGGGATTACAGGCATATACCACCACACCTGGCTAATTTTGTATTTTTAGTAGAGACAGGGTTTCTCCATGTTAGTCAGGCTTGTCTTGAATTCCTGACCTCAGGTGATCCTGCTTTGTCCTCCCAAAGTGCTGGGATTACAGGTGTGAGCCACTACGCCTGACCAAAGATGATTTTAAAGTTTATATAGTGGGGCAAAAGACACAGACAATTCAATATTAAAGTAGAAGATCAAAATCAAAAGACTGACATTGCCAAACTTGAAGATCTACCATGGAGATATAGTAATCAAGATAGTGTGGCATAAATCTAAATAAATAAATACATACATACAACAATGGAACAGAATAAAGAGCCCAGAAATAAACATACTTAAATATTTCAAGTAATCTTTGACAAAGGAGCAAAGACAGTCTTTTCTATAAATGGCGGCAGAACAATCAGACATACATAGGCAAAAAAAAAAAAAGAATATAAACTCAAAATAGATCATAGATCTAAATGTAAAATGAAAAACAATAAAAGTCCTAGAACATAACACAGGAAAAAACCTGGATAAAATTGGCTATGACAATGACTTTTGGATTCATCAAATGTGTGATTCATAAAAGAAATAATTGGACTTCATTAAAATTAGGCATCTGCTCTGAAAGACAAGGTCAGAGGTTGAGAGGACAAGCCCACAAAAAGGTAGAAAATATTTGCAAAAGACACACCTGACAAAGGACCGATATCTAAAATATACAAAAAAACTCTTAAATCTCAACTTTTTTTTTTAAATGAGGTTTTGGTGTTTTTTGTTTTTTCAGGGTGGTATATTAGAGACTTTAAGCATACCTCAGCCATTTGGGTATAGCAAAATAGTACACAAAAAATCAACTCTGTGAGCTCTAATTCTAGAGAAAACATGGGAATTCACTGGAATAGTAAAGGACACCCGAGGCCCCAGGGAGGAGAAGATGAGCAGCCCCCTGATGGCATTTGGTTAATAAAGTGAGTGAAGCCCCAGTTCCAGAGTAAGGCAGCCAGTCTCCCTCTGTGTCACACCTTTCTGCTCGTGATGTATGAAACCCAGGACAAGGGAGGGCATCCTGCTACTCCCAAACCTGGGAGCTAGCTCAGGTAGAGGCTGAGAGATAGAGAGAAAGACACCAGGGAAAGCTGCAGATATTTTCCCAGACCAAGGACTGAAAAATGGATGCCAATTTTAATCCAGGCTCAGACAAAATCATTGTTTGGCAACCTGGCAATGGCAGCCACTGCAGACATTTCAGTTTCTGGCCAGATAGATTAAAGTGCTTCCACTGGAGTCGGGTAAAGGCCCCCACAGCCAGCATTCAGCTAAAAGTGTGGAGAGTGTCCCAATAGTTGCCTCTTGGAATTAGGCTCTCTCCTTTAGCAGAACTAGAGAAGAAGGAGAGTTGCTGAAGCTGACGTTTATTTTGGATAGCATGACTTGCAGCCAGTTATAGCTTTGCCCCAGCCTATTCCCTTTGTCTGTTGGGGAAGAGTGCCTGATCAGCTTTGAGGACACAGAGGAAGGTGGACTTCATTCCCTTGGAGATCTAACTCTTGTTGTGAACTGCCCCTCAGGGAAGGGTAGCACAGCCTGCCAAAGCCTGCCTAGGGTCAAAGGAAGTGCAAATGTGGTGCCAGCCATTGAATGGGGCAATACCAAAGTCTGAAACAAACTTAGAGAAGGGATCATCTCTCCCCATCCCCCTGCTCCCTCTCCGGTGCACTGCTGTAGACATGGCAGTGGCTCATCCCACTGGGCTTTAGGGAATGCTGACTGAAAGATGCACTTCTAGGTCTTCTCCAGCAGTACCATCCACAGCTGAAGCCCAGCAGTATTGGGGGAGGGTACTTCATTGGCTTCTCCATTTTCTCTACCCCAGGTGAGGGTGAGCACACACAGAGTAAGAGCCTCCTGCTGATTCTTACTCTTAAGCACCATATACTGGATTGCAGCCTGAATTATACCACCAAACAAGAATACACAGCTCACCAAGCAATGTCTGAGTAAGCCATCATATGAATCTATCTGCAGTGAAGGAACATGTACAGAGCCCCGGCCCTCTGAAGGCACTCAGAATTGAAACAAATCAACCATACATAACATACACCACAGCCATACCCTAAAGAGAAAAAAGAATTAAAAAGTCCTGTCTAAACAATACCATATTCAAAAAAAGAAGCATCAGCACCCTCAGATGAGAA